TTAATCCTTTCCCCTCCCCCCCTTCTTCTTCAATTTGACCAGAAAAAGGCAGGGAGTGGGAGAGGGAGAAAGCAAGCCGCCAAGTCTAGGACTCGCGCTGTGGGAGTCTAGCACCTTAACCACTGGGCTGTCTCGAAGGTCTCGATCTTTCCCCCTCCTCTCCCCGTGCCCTGCTTCTGTAAACAGCCCCTCCACATGCCCGTGTGCTCGAGCCCCAACTAGAGGGATCCCGTGAGTGTCAGTCACACCAGGTCTCTCCGCACGCCTCCCAGAATGCTCCAGTCCTCACTGCAGTCTCCCTCCGGGGCTGGTGTGCACCGCTTTCAAAGCAACCCAGCCCGGTTCCTGCCAGGGAAGCTCTGCAGCCGCTGCCTAGTCTACAAGGCTCCCTGTGCACGCCTGCTCTTCTGCAGCTCCTCCAAGGCCACCCCTGGTCAGGTGTGGAAACAGCAGTCTGCCTCTCTCCTCTCAGCTCTCAGCACACCCTGGCACCACAGGGAGGACTTGTTTGTCACGGCCTGCTCCCACTGCATGCCCCAGGACACAGCCTGGCTCAGGGTGCGCCTAGCCGGCTCTGCTGAAAGGATGAATGAGCAGCGGCCTGAGGAGGGCCTAAACGCCTCCCCATGCTCCCTGCTCCCTCCAGATGAGGTAGGAAGGCTCCTTGGCAAAGCTGACAAAGTGCTGGGGGACATGGTCCCACTGACCCATGGAGCTCCACCCTGGGCCACTTGGCCCCACACCCCCATTGCTTCCTCCAGTAACACCAAACTGTGGTTTCCTCAGATGGACCTCTCTCTCTCTCCTCTGGTCTTCCTGTATCTTCGTAGGGCTGAAACCCTCTCCCCACCTGACCTGGCTTGTTCTTCCAGCACCTTTGGGTCTCTGCTCGGCTAGCATCGGCTCCAGGAACTCTTTCCTGACCTCCTCACTGAGGCCAGAGGCCTCCTCAGCTCCAAGTGCCCAAGGCCTTCCCATCGAAGTAGTCACCTACATGTGCACCCTTCCTCTTTGTCCCCAGGCTGTGTGCTCCCCAAGGGCTGGGCCTGTGACATACTCACCTCAGAATTCTGAGACCTAACACATACAAATGCTCAGAAAACACAATTTGAATGAAATAATGAGCAAGAGAATTCGCAAAAACCAAGCCTGCTGAGGAATGGGGCAGGGACCCAGGAAGATAACCCCACTCCACCCGTTGTCCTCCACAGAGGGCAGCCCCGGAGCAGGAACCAACAACCTACTAGGGTCTATGGAGAGTCCATCAGGCACGGCTCTGAGTCTAGTCCTGGCCATAAGGCCCAGAGTCCTGTGGCCTCACCATGTAACAGGCCCTGGTAGGAAGAAGACCCTTCATCTGTGTTCTGGTGGCTATGGCCCTGTGACCACTCCCTGCCTAACTTCCAGCCCAGGTCACACCTTTTGGCCAGAGTTCCCATGATGGCACCCAAAGGGAAAATAGAGAAGGGGTTCCTTCCAGATCGGCAGACAGCAAGCAGTGGAATTAGGCAGTGGAACCAGAGCTAACCTCCAGGGCCCCCAGTCTGAGCCCGAACCTTGAGTCACCCTGTTGCTTGTCTCCTTGGAGAGTCTGCTTAATGGCCCAGGGCCAGATATGAGAGGCCCAGCCTGAACCTGGATGATGCCAACGAGAAAACAGACTAGAGACAGATTCATCCTCCCTGAGGGCCTGAGTATACGTGGAGAGAGGGCAGATGTACCTCTACACTGCCTGTGGGACTGTGGCCTGGCACTGGTCCAGCCCCCTCACCACAGCCCACAGCAGCCCCTGAAGAAGGCATGGCCCCGAGGCTCCCTCCGGTTTGCAGACGTGCTACATACCTGAGTGTAGAGGGCATACCCGGGACCCCAATCAGTCCTCAACTGCTGACACTCCTTCCATGGGGACCCTTTCCCATACATCAGATCCTGATTGTCACAGAGACCTGAGGGCTCGGGAGATCTGCAGCCCTGTACTGATCCCACCCCAGGGACCTCCTGTGGCTTCCTCCACAGCTCCCCACATTCCCACCAGTCCTGGGTCAAGCCTGCATCTGCTCCTGCAGCCTCATTGCTCATCTGTGCAAGGCCCAGGCCCTGGCCAGAGTCATCCCCTGCCCCGCGCCCAAGCCCTCTCTCTGCCAGCTCCTTGCCCCCAAGCCTCACTTTGCCCCTTTCTCAAAGGATCTACCACAGAGCCTGCTGCCACCATCTCTGAAGTGTCTCTTGATCTTGGCCTTAGGCCCCACCACCTCCTTTCTGAATCCCACCCTGCCCTGCTGTGGCTCCGCAATCTCTCCTGATCCTCCTACCACTGCCTGTCAAATCAAATGCCGTCCCCTCTGAGCGCAGTCGAGCCTTCCACAGCATGCTCAGCACAGCAGGTCCCAGCCCCCTACTCTCAATCTGTGATCCCAGGCAGATCACTTAGCCCCTCTGAGCCATGATTTCCTTATCTGTAAAATATACTTCAAAGGCTACTGAAAGTTCTGAAGCTGTAAGGCAGCAGGCACCTAACAGTGGGTAGACTGAGTTGGACCCCACCACTCCTGAGCCTGAGAAAAATACCCTGGGGAAATTCATTCCAAAGCATCAGCCTGGGGGCGCCAGTGTCCCTCCTGCCCTCCAGGAGGGAATCTGCACAGGCCACGACTCTTCTCCCAGCTTCTTGGTGGTGCTGTAAGAGGTGGGGAGGAGAGGACCAGGAAGAGCCGGCTGGCTGAGCAGAAGGACTGCAGGAAAGGCCACCCACTCACTTGTGTTTCCCCAGGCCTCAGTTTCCCCTCGGCTCAGTGAACCTGAGGATTCTACCTGCTAGACCTGGAGCCAGGGAGAGAAGAGGCCTGCCCCGGACTGGCCTTCCCGATCTTCCTCCTGGCATCCAGGAGGGGCTGCCTGAGCCAGCAGGAGTGGGCCTCTGTGCATTGGGAAAGGCTGAAAAACAAACCGGAATCCAAATCAGGAAAACCCAGAGCTGGGGTTGCCGTGGCAACCTGCACCAGGCTCCGGGTCTGTGCTCAGCCTCTGGGGGTGGGGGCCAGGACTTGCCAGGCTCGGCTGCCCCCGCCTCTG